CTGAGCATCAGAGAGGGCAAATTGTTGGTGCCCGCTTAGCTGGTGCCTCTGTGACAACGTTACTGGACAGGCTGCATCTACTCCTAGCTTTTAATTAGCCTTCACCTGCCAGACCTTTATAGTCAGGGTTGGATGCATAATGCAAATATCGCTTCACTGTGAAACTGAAGCAAATTAGGGTGTTCGTTTATGACACACAGAGAATAACTGCGATTCAACGGATCTCAGCTATTCTCTGGTCATTCACAGTTTATGACACTCAGGAGATCATGTCAGCCCTTCTCTGGAGATCTGTGTTCTCCCTCCAGATTCTCCAGCCCAGAGCTGGAGAATCAGAGGGACCGCAAACTAAGCAGAGATAATTTGCCTCTGCTTAGTAAACTGATCTTTCACTATAATCTCACGAGATTATAGTAAAATCAGCCGTTTTCCAGAGTTTGTAGACCGTTCTCCCTCCTTGTTCGGAGAACTTCTTCATAAACTACATTCACAGGACAACTGAGTTGCCGGAGAACTGAGCAGCGATCATTTACCGCTGGTTCATAAACGGACACCTAGGTGCTATATATGCAGTATGTGGTACAAGTAAGCATAGACTGCACACCACTATGTCATTGGTCACAAAATTAGGCTGAGTGGGTTCCTTGAAGCAGGCAACCTATACATTTTGTTGCCTATAGACAGAGTCCATGCCTTACAGTGGGCCCTGTTAATGGCATAATTACTTACTTCTTACTTTTAAATATATTTATAAACAATATAGGGTCTGGAATTAAAAATCCCATTTCAGTGTTTGCAGATGACACCAAGCTGTGCAGTGGAATAACCTCTTTACAGGATGTCTTGAACTTACAAGCCGACCTCAATGCACTGTTTAATTGGCAACTTTGTGGCAAATGAGGTTTAATGTTGATAAATGTAAGGTTATGCACTTGGGGGCTAAGAATATGCATGCATCATATATACTGGGGGGGTACAACTGGGGGGGTATCAATGGTGGAGAAGGATCTGGGAGTTCTGGTAGATCATAAGCTTAATAATAGCATGCAATGCCAAGCTGCGGTTTCTAAAGTAAGCAAAATCCTCTCTTGTATTAAAAGAGGTATAGACTCCAGAGAGAGAGATATCATTCTACCCCTGTACAAATCATTAGTAAGACCTCAGTTCAGTTTTGGGCACCAATTCACAAAAAGAACATTGGGGAACTGGAGAAAGTACAGAGAAGGGCAACCAAACTGATAAGAGGCATGGAGGAGCTCAGCTATGCGGAAAGATTAGAGGAACTGAATTTATTCTCTCTTGAGAAGAGGAGATTAAGGGGGGATATGATCAACATGTATAAATACATCAGTGGTTCATATAGTGAACTCGGTTATTCACCCTGAGGTCATCACAGAGGACAAGGGGGCACATTTTCTTATGTCTGGAAGAAAAGAAATGTAATCTCCAAACACGGAAAGGTTTCTTCACAGTAAGAGTTGTGAAAATGTGGAATAAACTCCCTCAAGAGTTGGTTCTGGCCAGCTCAGTGGATTGCTTTAGAAAAGGCCTGGATTCTTTCTTAGATACACAGAATATAACTGGATACTAAGATTTATAGGTAAAGTTGATCCAGGGAATATCCGATTGCCTCTCGGGGGATCAGGAAGGATTTTTTCCCCCTGCAGGAGCAAATTGGATCATGCTTTGCTGGGGTTTTTTTTGCCTTCCTCTGGATCAACTGTGGGTATAGGATTATAACTTTTTTTTTTAAATGGTTGAACTGGATGGACTTTTGTCTTTTTTCAGCCAGACTAACTATGTAACTATATATAATCGTTATTCATCTCAGCAAAATTGATTTCAGAACTGGATTGAGACCACAGTCTTTGGATCTAGATGTTAATAAGAATGTAAATCACTGAAATACAAGAGTGTAAATCACTTACTCCCCTCCATCTTCCTAAACAATGATCATAAGGCCTCATGCACACTAGGATTTTGCTCAGCTCTTCTGAATGCCTTTTCTCCTAGCAGAAGAAAAGCAGTGTAAAAAAAAATCGCCTACAGCTGCGTTTTGCAAACTTGTTTAGATCCTCATTCATTCCAGGGGCCAAATTATTAATTTATTCTGGACACTGGAATGAATGAATGAATGCTCAAGTGCTAAACATGCTTACCATTTAGGCACATTGGGTGTTTTTTTTCTACTAAAACACTGCTATCATGAACGTGGAAGTGATGGGTTTTTTTTCCATCTACAAATGCTCCTGCCTCTATATGCCTGTAAATATCAACATAAAGGGCATTTAGAGGCAGGAAAAAAGGTTAAACACCCTTATAAGCAGTATTTTTGACACCCAATGTGCACGAGGCCTTACATTGTGTCAGATTTTCTCTACTGCAGTTAAAGCCGGCTATAGATGGATCAAATCTCAGCCAGTTCAGCAGAGACTGGCTGAGATTTGATCCATGTATTGGCAGGGTGATTGTACAAAGACCGATCCATCGATTGACTTGAGTACAACTGGCCTGTTGGATTTTTAGCACGTGAATTCTGCCTGCAGCTATAGCCACTTGCAGTGAGTATTGCGTCCTCCCGGCACGGAAGGCTCCCCATGCCCCCCCACCAGCAGAGCTCAATAGCACCGCGGGGGGGCTTTCTGTATGATTTTCTTTCCTTCCATCCATGGTGGAAGAAAATAAAATCAAGTAATCTATGACTTGTCTAAGCAGAACTGCTAGGGTACCTTCCTGCCCCAACCTAGAGATTGGACAATGAAGAAGAAGCAAAAGACTGATGAACACATCTCTATCCCTCTGCTCTTTCTTCTTATCAACATATTATTTGTCAGCACATATGCAAAACAGATCCTGATTATCACTTAATGCTCCCCTCCATCTCCCGGTCCTGCTCTGTAGAGGATTCCGAGAGGGCCATACAAAGTGAAGTATGCGTAATTACACTAGTTGCATTTATTATTATTATTATTATTATTATTATTATTATACAGGATTTATATAGCGCCAACAGTTTGCTCAGCGCTTTACAAATATAACTGGAGACAATACAGCAACAATACAGTTTTACAAGAGGGTTAGGAGGGCCCTGCTCCTTGGAGCTTACAATCTAAAAAGTATTATTATACAGGATTTATATAGCGCCAACAGTTTTCTCAGCGCTTTACAATAACGGGAGACAATACAGTAACAATACAGTTTAATACAAGAGGGAATTGAGGGCCCTGCTCCTTGGAGCTTACAGTCTAGGAGTATACTATACCTTATGATTTTTTTTTTAACTAATACATCACTTCAGTGATTGCTGTTTTACATCTGCCTGGAGTTCAGCTTTAATTAAAATATCTAATATCTAATATTTATAATTATGCAATTATGGGAGGGAGCATGCACAGTATGCTTCTTCAACAGTCATGCCATAGTAAACATTTCCTGGCATGCACCACAGGATCCTAATTGAATGCTATGGTTTGCAAGATGCCGTGCGTATCTATATCTTCATAGTATATACAGTATACAGTATAGGAAGGATAACAGAGATAAAGCTTTATGTGTAAAATTTGCATGTTTCAGGCTTTTGGTAGCAGCTACTGATGGCTCATACCATGGAAAGATTTATTCAGTTTTTGGCAGCCAGTAACGTTATGGTGCCAGCCAGCAAGACACAAATGTCAAGAAATCCAATAAATGGTGCTACAAGTAAATATGTTATTTCAAATGTAAAAACACACAATGGAACTAGTGGTGGAAATTCAGCAGACTTTTCCAAACGGAATGTTTAGGCAGTATATACAACTATATGATCTATAAAGAGAAAATAATCCCAAAAATATTGTGCGAGCACAACCATCATTGTAGAACCAGTTTTAATTCTAAATCCTGTGTAACATATGAATTCCTTGAGGCTGTGTTGGATGAGCGGTTTGGCATTCATGTACCTTGTAACTCACTGATGAAACCATGTTTTCCAGCAGCAGTTTGGCAGCCATTTCTGTATCATTAACCACTTTAATGATTTACTATACAGCATCACTGACCAAGAGAGGCTTTCACATTTCCAATAGAAAACCTCTGCACAAAGGGATTGCTGAAAGATGACTTCTCCAGAGCCAGTTATGCCATAGTGTCTGAGAAAAACACACACACACACACCATTACAACTCATGCAAAAAAAAAAAAAAACCCTATCAAAAAAATGCCAACTGCTCAGTCATAGACACACCAGTAGATATAATGGATAGGTATGGTGGGAATGCCCTTAGTTGGAAGATATAATTAGCAGTAACTCCCTATGCTGACTGAAGCCTGCTGTATTTTTTTTTTTTAGGGTTAGAAAATTGTTTAATAATAGAAAGTTGCTGTTATAGGTTTTGAGGGAAGGGCAGGTAAGCCTATATTTTGGCATACCAGGGTTACTATAATCTGCTAAATATAATACGCTGATGAAAAATATTGTCTATAGTACTTACCTATAAGGGTCCGTTTACACTTGCAGTTAGAGGGTGTTAAAAAAACATAGTTGAACTTTGTTTTTTTACTGCCCCCCAACTCCTCCCCTTTAACCACTTGCCTACCAGGCACCTCTACCCCCTTCCTGCCCAGGCCAATTTTCAGCTTTCAGTGCATTCGCATTTTGAATGACAAGTGTGCAGCACTGTGCCCAAACAAAATTTTTAGCATTTTGTTTGAGACAGATAGAGCTTTCTTTTGGTGGTATTTAATCACCACTGGGGTTTTTTATTTTTTGCTAACAAAATAAAAAAGACTTAAAATTTTGAAAAAAAAAAAAAAAGTTTTTTCTTAGTTCTGTTATAAAATGTTGTAAATAAGTAATTTTTTCTCCTTCACTGATGTGTGCTAATGAGGCTGCACTGATGGGCACTGATAGGCTGCTCTGATGGGCACTGATAGGCGGCACTGATGAGGAAGCACTGATAGGTGGCACTGATGGGCATTGACAGGCATCACTGATGGGCACTGAAAGGCAGCATTCATATATGGCACTGATGGGCACTGATAGGCGGCACTGGCTGGCACTGATAGGTGGCAGTGATTGGAACTGTTAGGTGGCACTGATGGGCACTGATAGGCAGCACTGACGGGCACTGATAGTTGGCACTGAAAGGAAGCTCTGATGGCACTGATATGTGGCATTGATATGCACTGATGGGCACTGGTACGTGGCATTGATGGGCACTTACAGGATGCATTGATGGGCACTGACAGGTGGCAATGATGGGGCTACACTGATAATCAGGGCACTGATGATCAGCCCTTGATGATCATTGTAGATGTCCCCTTTGAGGAATGCCGATTACCGGCTTTCCTCTCCTCATGTGCTGTCAGCTTGGACACAGCTGATCACATGACAGAGCCGACGTCATAGGCTCTTTACTCTGATCAGTGATCCGCTATGTCTCAGGGACACAGCACACCACCGATCGCTGCACAGCGTGCCCCCCGGTTAGAGTGGGAGGACGTCATATCACATTCTCCCAGAACAAGAGAACCGCTGCCCGTCTATAATTTCCTTATATGGCGGGCAGGAGGTGGTTAAGCTGCCAAGTCAGCTGACAGGGGTGTACATATGCTGCAGTGAGGAAAAAAATTATCGCCACCCCCACAGCCCCCCAATCACATTTAACAGGCAGTGCTGTATGCCAAACATGATCCATTCAGCTGAGTAGGGCTGCACTGCATTTGCCCTCAAAGTGCATGTAATGCATGCAGTTGCAGTATGGTGGTGTAAGCCTTAAGTATATGTAAACCCTCATCTTGTAAAATAACCCATTCAGTATAAAATAGAAATGAAAGGCAAAATATTTGTGTATTGATATAAAAAAACATTTATATACAGTATATCTTTTTTTAATAGATGATCATATACCATCTGTTCTTAGCATCAAAAGGAGTTCAGGGAGGAGATACAGCAGCACACTGATCTTTCCAGTGAATGGCTGTGTAGGAGGGGGGTATGTCAGCAGAAGTCTGACCATTGGAGCAGAGCAGACTGAGTTACAGCACAGCTAGAAAACTGACCATATTGCAGGAATATGAACTTTTGGGTTGACATATTCTTTAAGAATTAAAACAAGCAGTGAGTTGACATAATGGCTCCTCACCACCTGTAAAAAACACCCTTTGAAAAGATATCTGCTATGGAATGCTCTTCAGAAGGAGAGGCTCATATAAACGAACCCTAAAGCAGTCTAATGGGAATGAGGGATCTGGTGTATTTCTGTCTCCATAGGTGCACATGATGAGCAGAGAGACGCACGATAGCACAGACAGCAGGAAAAGTCTGCTCATTCACATGATCAGAAACTGCACTGACCAGCTCTGCCAACCCCCGAGGATGCTTGCAGTAACAAAGTGTAGGAATTCAGCACATAGTGGTGAAAATCAATTCCTGGCCAGGACTCGGTGATCATCGGTGTAGCTGAGAGGGGAGAGACCTGTGTGTAAACAACACAGATCTCTCTCCTGTCAGCATGGACGTGCTGCTTTCTAGCTCTCTGCACAGCAGAGAGATAGAAATCAGCAGGTTTCCTTAATAAAACAGCACATAGTACACAATAAAAACACTCCCTAACACACAGTTAACCCCTTTTATCGCCCCAGATGTTAACCCCTTCCTGCCCAGTGTTATTAGTACAGTGTCAGTGCTTTTTATTAGCACTGATCACTGTATTAGTGTCAATGGAGATGTCAGCGGCAGTTCCCACCCAGTGTCAGAATGCCCACCAAAGTCCCGCAGTCCTAAGTCATAAGTCGCTGATTGCCGCCATTACTAGTATTAATAAAAATTCCAGTACATATACCGCCATTCATAGATGCTATAACTTTCATGTAGACCAATTAATTTACACGTATTGAGATGTTCTTTTTAGCAAAGACATGTAGCAGAATACATTTTGGCCTAAATTTATGCCAAAATTAAATTATTTTAAATTTTTTATTGGATAAGTTTTATAGCAGAAAGTCCAAAATATATTTTTTTTAATTTTCAGTCTTTTTTTGCTTATAGCACAAAAAATAAAAAATGTAGAGGTGATCAAATACCACTGAAAGAAATCTCTATTTGTGGGAAAAAAATACATAAATTTCATTTATGTACAGCATTGCATGACCGTGCAATTGTCAGTTAAAATAACGCAATGCTGTATTGCAAAAAATGGCCTGGTCGGGGGGAGTAAATCTTCTGGAGGACAAGTGGTTAAATGAGTAAAAAAGTTGGCCTCTCAACACTGTGGGCTGGCAAACAGATTTAATATTTTAGTTTGGGTTTGTGAAGCCGGATCACAGCTCCTTGACACTCTAGAAAAGCATATATCACCTTTTAATTTGTTTATACTATATGTATCTTTCCCAGGGGCGGACTGACAACTCATGGGGCCCCCGGGCAATAGGGGATCATGGGGCCCCTGTGTCCTTACCCAAACTCAAAAAAGCCTATGAAAAAGGTACCAGGGGCATCTCATGGGGCCCCCTACTGACCCCGGGCCCTCGGGCAGTGCCCGAGTTTCCAGATGGTCAGTCCGCCCCTGTAATTCCTTCCTGAACAGTTGTGATTTACAAACAGGCATGCATACATTTTGTCCATAATAAGTAGATAATTGTTGATCAGAAACGTGCATTGGGATAAATAATATTTCCATTGCCTTAGTGTCGGTACATCCAGTCTTATAGGAAGCACTACAATCTATTACCGAAGGTTTGTATGAATACATTAAAATAATAATTGCTTTGGGATTATGGTTTTGCAAAACGTACCTTAAAATACAAAAACCTTCATTTACATCTGTATCTTGTAAATTGAAAGAGTACAAAGCATGCACTATATACTGATTCTTTTGCATGAGCTGTGGTTTCCTTCTTAGTTCATTGTGTGTTTCCTTCTGTAAAAAGAATGGATGGAAATAGATTGTGCTAAGGAAGCCTGAGGTCAGTGGTAAGATTTATTACCCTCTTATTTTAAATCCACTCCTAGATCTCTTCTTTACAGCATAATCTCCACTGTAAAACTTCCTCAATCCAGTAAGCAGGGGGGGCAGCATGACAACACACTTGCATTGTTCTCTGTCCTGAAAAAAAAATAGATATATTCTTGTGTCATGCTGTCAGAACAATACAAATACGAATGCAGACAGGAATGCACTTTCTTTACCCCCGAGGAACATAGCATTATATGTGTTTTCGTTTGTTTATTATTCTTCCCATTCATTTGTATTACCATTATTTTTACAGTTTTCAAAATTGTTAATGCACAAATTTGTTAGGGTATTAAATATATATTATAGTTTAATTTGCTGGTTTTACATTTGTAGGGTGTATGTAAACCCAAAATGTATTTTTTTTTATGTTTGACACTGGACGGATCACAATATACAGTTAAGCAATTTTTTTTTTTGTGCATCTATTACCTGGAGATCTTTACCAGCATATTTTGTTGCAGGCTAACAACGCTAAACTGCTGCCTGGCAAATGAGCAGCAGTGTTGTCATTCTGCTGTGCACGCTATTTTAGTTGGCAATTGGGCTGCCTATCAGGTCTGTTGGATAGGCAGCCCAATGGCCAACTAAAGGAACTCACGTGGCAGGCTGACTATGCTGCTGTTGATTGCAAGGCAGTGGCTTAGTCATACCTGCCAAATTTGGAACTTAAAGCGGAGCTCCACCTAAAAGGGGAAGTTTCGGTTTAAAGCTTTGTCCCCTGCTCCCCATTAAGGATTGGCACCTTTGGAGAGCGGGTACCTGAATTTGACAGGTACCCGCTCCCACTTCTGCTACAGTTGCCTAGGAGATCGGAAGCAGAAGTTGTCCTTCCCCCCCCCCCTCCCTCCCTGTAGTCTTCTGGGACATGTGACAGGTCCCAGTAGACTATGGGGCCATTCACAAAATGCAGCGCTTCTCACGCATGAGCAGTGGGCACCCGGCTGTGAAGCCGCAAGCTGTCACAACCTGTTGCCCACACTGAAGATGCTGGCGCCAGGGAGAGAAGATGGCCGCTGAAACCAGCGGTGATGAGGACACCACTGGACCAAGGGACTGGCTGTATTTTAAAGGTCAGCAGCTACAGTTTTTGTAGCTACTGACATTTTTTTTTCAGGTGGAACTCCGCTTTAAAGAGGAACTCCACCTTCCAAGGCAATAATATTATGGTAATGTATATAAATTGTTCCCGCGTGTAATCAAAACAAATACGTACTTACTGGTTTATAGGGTTAAACCGATTGTAAAGTCTATTTTTTTTTTATTTTAAAATAACAAACATGTCTATACTTACCTGCTGGTACAGTGGATTTGCACATAGCAGCCCAGATCCTCCTCTTCTTGGGTTCCCCTCGGGTACTCCTGGCCCTCCCTCCTGTTGCGTGCCCCCACAGCAAGCTGCTTGCTGTGGCGGCACCCAAGCAGGCTCGGTGTCCATTGACACATGGAGCCGCTGCTTGGCTCCACCCCCTCTCCCTCCTCATTGGCTTACTGACTGTGATTAATTCTGTCAGCCAATGAGGAGAGGGAGTCCCAGGATTGCCGAGACTCCAGTGATCATCACTGGAACGAGAAGGGGCTTAGTGAGTATTGGGGGGCTGCTGCACAGAGAAGGTGTTTTACCATCATGCATAGAATGCATGAAGGTAAAAAATCCTTCTACCTTTACAACCAACTTCACAAAGCAGGTAAGTATGATATGTTTGTTATTTTTTACAAAAAAAGTTTTAACTTTATTATCACTTTAATTGGACAAGCTGAGGTTATAAGCTGATTGGTTACCATGCACAGCTGAAACAGATTCTGAGCGCTCCAGTTGTAGTAAATCTACCCCACAGGATCTTTTGGACTTGGCAGAAACCAAGGCGTATCTGCACATGCGTGACATTCTGCTAACCCCTCACACATACGTAGACACTCTGTGGGTCTCTACCAGATCCTATAGATCCCAGAGTGGGTTTGTGCATCTGCAAGATCATACTACTTATGGAATTGTCACATGGGGGAAGATTCTGGAAGCAAGGGCTTAAAAACATATTTATTGTTTAAATGTTTTTTCCCTTCATGTGAGAGGGAAGGGTGGAGGAAGTCAGAGGACAGGAAGTCAGATTTCTGGGTGGAGGTCCGCTCTAAGAATGACGGACATGATTGGACAGAGAAGACATGTGGTATGAAGTGCATACCATGGCAAAAATGAGCATGGATTAATATGCTGAATATTGGACATGGCTTAAAAGAGCTTGGTAAATAGAGTCTAAACTGTGTACAGTATACACTGTACACAGCCCGCACTCTGTAAAGCTGGGCTTCCTTCCTCTTTTGCTGTCCCAGCTTTCATGTTGTTCAGTAAGTGTCATTTTTGTATCTATTCAGAAGTCCTGGAACTGCAGCCAACCAGGAAAGGTCTGGCACTGTCACATGCCAGTACCAGAACTTTCCTATTGGCTGACGGTTCAGAACTTTTGAATGGTTACAAGTTTCAGAAC